GTAACTATTGTATTTATTTCTTCCCCTCCCTGCAATTCAGTATTTTTTGAAATGCTATTAATGTCCTCTATCATGAAGACTGATGCAAAGTATTTATTCAACTTCCCTGCCATTTCCATAAAATCAGAATCCCTACAGCGTGGAATCAGGCCATTTGGTCCATTCAGTCCACACCAATCCTCTGAAGAGGAGCCCACTCAGACCGACCTGCTTTGCCAAATAAACCCACACTTCCCACGGCTAATCCACCTAGCCTGCACACTCCTGGACACAATGGGCAATTTAGCATGGCCAGTACACCTCATCTGCATATTTTTTGGACAGTGGGAGGAAACTGGAGCACCTGGAGGAAACCCACATAGACACAGGGAGAATGTGCAAACTCCACAGCTGCCCGAGGCTAACCACTGAGCCACCATGCTGCCCTAAATTTTCACATTTGTCGCCCCCGAACCCACCCAGTATTATTTCCTAGCCTCATTCTCTAAGGGACCTTTTTGTTCACTTTTTAAAATATATTAAAAGAATGTCTTTATCGTCAGTTTTTATATTACTTGATAGCTTACCCTCCTAGTTTACCTTTGCCCTTCTTGTTTTTTTGGTAATCTTTTGATGGCTTCTAAAAATTTTTCAGACCTATTTGCTTTATGACTGATCTTTGCCACATTTGTATGTTCGCTTCTTTCAATTTGACACTATCCTTAACTTGGTTAACCAAGATTGGTCTTCTCTTTATACATTGAGTACAATTTTGATCCCAGTGTTTAAGAAAGGATGTACAGACTGTGACGATACCATGGCTTTAAGAGATGCATTTTGTTCTTTTTTTTTAAATGAAGAGAGTTTGAGACTGAGGTGTGAGTGGTCCATTCTAAGTCAGTAAAATAAAGGTTTGAGGCCTTGGGGGCGTTTTGTTTTTAAGTTAGAACAATGGAAGCAACATGAATGGGTAGAGTCAGGCTCCCAACAGTTGTTGGGGTTTTGAAGCTGCCATACAGCATAATGCTTCAGTTCTGTCTCTGATATTTTGTCTTGTTCTTTACTCTTGGACTGGAGAAACTTTGCATGTGAGACAATTTTTTTACTGAATTTGTCATTGCCAAGGGTGTGTTTGTGGGATGTTACTATATTGGATAAGTTGCTGTTATTAGTTAAATAATCTATTATTCTGTTAAATTTTCCAGTAGAGTTAGTTATACTAGTTCTTCTTTCTTTTTGTTTGTATTTTAACTATAGGGCAAGAATGAAGTGTGTTTTGCTTATAGCCGAGTAGTATAACCAATTGAATTACACCTGGAACACAACGTTTGACACTTTCTTAAAATAAGACAAAACTTAGGATCCAGGCTGTGTCCTTAATATATTTGAAGGGAGTTTGGTCTGATCCATAACAAGGCATTTTGGGGAAGTTTAAAAGAGATCGACTAGGCTCATGCCTTGGTTGAAAGGATTGACTATCAAGAATGGCTAAATAGGTTGGGGAGGGTTCGATTCCAGCCCTGGGTGGCTGTCTGTGTGGAATTTGCACATTCCCCCATGTCTGCGTGGGTTTCCTCCCACAGTCCAAAGATGTGCAGGTTAGGTCAATTGGCTATGTTAAATTGATTATAGTGTCTAGGGTGGGAAATGTAGGGATAGGGTGGGGTGCGAGTCTGGGTGGGATAATCTTTGGAGAATTGGTGTGGCTCGATGGGCTGAATGGCCTGCTTCCACACTGTAGGGATTCTACGAGAAAGACAAGATTCTTGGAGCCCTTCAATGTCGATGTTAAGATGCTCCTGCTGGTGGAGGAAATCTCAAACTATGGAGACAAAATTACAGAATAAGAGGGCATTCATTTAAAACTGAGATGTGAAGGAATTTCTTCTGAAATAGTAAGTGTCTGGAATTTTCTACCCCAGAGAGTTGTGGAGGTGAGATCACTGAAAGCATTTTTCTTAGATTCTTAGAATCCCTATAGTGTGGAAACGAGCCATTCGGCCCAACAGGTTGACACCGACCCTCTGAACAGCATCCCGCCCAGACCTATCCGCCTCCCTGTAACCTTACATTTTCCATGGTTGACACGCCTAACCTACACATCCCGGAAGACGATGGGCAATTTAGCAAGGCCAATCCACCTAATTTGCATATCTTTGGACTATGGGAGGAAACCGGAGCACCCGGTGGAAACCCATGTGGACACGGGGAGAATATGCAAAGTCCACACAGACAGGTGCCTGCGGTAGAATTAAAGAAGAGGTAAATATTTGAAATGAGAGGTCAATGAGGAGCTGGCATGATATTGGAGGTGAGGCTTGTTATAGATCAGCCATGATCTAATAGTGGCAGGGGAGGCTTGCGCTGACAAATGTCTTCGTAATGCTTCTATTTCTTTTGTTCCTAAGGCTTGACAATTTTTACTTTAAAGACTAGGGGGGAGAAAAAAATCAATTAACTGCTTTATTTAAGCAAAGGCAACCAAATACCCCCTCTCTCAAACTCGTTGAAACACTCCACTCCAGCACACTCATCAGCCTCCGTCTGAAGTGCGAAGTTGTCTAATTCTGTATGCTCCCAATAGAAAGGATAGGAATCACTTAACCAGCTGAGACTTACTACTTGTTTTTGATTTAATCTGCTCTTTCACTGCACCCCTTGGATAAAAATGCTGCTTAAGACTAGCACCTTCAGAATTTAAACTGTAGATTTCAGTTTAATTCCATCTACTTAATAAATTAGTGTGTACAAATTTTTTTAAAAATTATGGTTTCTTACCCAGCAGTGTGCTCATTCTCTACAATTTTAAGAGGACTGAGTGTAATGTATCAGCATCAGGACGTATTGATAATGTTGTAATTGTCCCAAGTGCCAAAGAGTAAAAACTCAAAACTGAGTCTGGGAATTTGCCAGTTGATAAAATTTTTTGATCACTTGTTCATAATAAATCTGTAAGTTCCAGCAGCCAACGGGTTTCCTCTGCATGTGAGAACAGTGGCAGATTTCCTGACTGGCAAAGCAGAACATCCTAAACTGGGTTTGATGGATTTGAAGGCCTCAATCTGCCCAATTTGGGGGTGAATGGACTACTGAATGGGGAAAATAGGTTGGTGGCTGGACTTTACAGATAAATGATGAACAAGTGAAGGCAAAATTGCATCTGTTGACAATTTCCCAATTTTCAGTGTTTTGTTTTCATAGAATGGTTATGATAGAATCCCTACGATGTGAAAACGGGCCCTTTGGCTCAACAAGTCCACACTGACCCTCAGAGCATCCCACTGAGTCCCATCCCCCTATAACCCACCTAATCTACACATCTTTGAACAGTATGGGCAATTTAGCATGGCCAATCCACCTAACCTGCCGCAAACTCCACACAGACAGTCGCCAGAGGGTAGAATTGAACCCGGGTCCCTGGTGCTGTGAGGCAGCAGTGCTAGCCACTGAGCCACCATGCCACCCTGTTTTAGAGGCATGTGGACCAAACACAGGCAAATGGGAGTAGTTTAGTTAGAGAAACTTGGTCAGTGTGGACAAGTTGGACTGAAGGGTCTGTTCCTGTGCTGTATGACTGTATGATTCTGTGACTCCATAACTCACTAGATTTCAGGAGGCTTCAGTAGATTGGAAAACTGCTGATGTGAATGTCTTTATTCAAGAAGGGAGAAAGACAGAAAGTAGGAAACTCTATACCTGTTAGCTTAACATCTATCATTGGGAAAATGCTAGAATGCATTATTAAGGTAGAATAGCAAGATCTGGGTTAGTAGGTTGTTCTGATTGTGATCTTTGCAACTGATTTCTTCAGATGCTCCCAGAAGGACAAAGACCTATCTAGAGTCACTCTAAGTATGTGGGTTTGAGGTTATTCTTTAGTTTCTGGCCACCCATGTAGAAATTCAATACTTTGTTGGCACTGGCATTATGGAGGTGGAATATATCTCCACAATGTACAAATATGAACACTCTATGCTTTTCGAGGGATTCAGTGTGAGACACTATTCTGCTGTGGCAGCCTTGATGATAATTGTTTTACATTAATTGATTGCTCTGCATAATTGGATACTCATACTGTTGGGCAATTAAGTCACAACTTTATACAGCTTCACTTTGGTTCAAATTGTTTGAAGATTTAGAGAGTGGCAATTTTCTCTTTGTAGTGTTTAGGTTTCATTTGTCAGTGTTCTCTCTTTGTTTAAAATTTCTGATTTTTAACTGTTTACAATCCCACAGATACCAACAAAGCTCTAATAGAACACTAATTAACTATATTTTCACTTGTAACGAATGTCAGTTCCATATTTCACCATGAGATTCATCACAACCAAGCCTAAACCTGTTCTTCCCCGATATTATATTTTGCATCTTTGCTGCAGGGTCAGAATTGAGAATCATTATATTTCTTTTTCTTCACCAGAAAACAATCACAGGACTTAGAACCAGTTCTAGGCCATTTGACCCTTCTTACTCTGCTTACTCTACCTTTTGATAAGAACGTGCTGATATTGTTGTGATGTCAACACCATTTTCCTGTGTGCCACCTGATAACTCCATTGTCTCTGAAAAATCCCTCTAGGCTGATGCTATGACTAAATTCAATGACCCAAATTCCACTGATTTCTGCAGAAGGTAATGTCACTGATAATCTTTTGAGAGAGAGAAAAAAAATCCTCATCACACCTTAAAAGGGATACCTCTTATTTTTAAAATGTGTCCCCATGTTCTAGTCTCTCCCACATGGAAAACCATCCATCTGCATTTAGCTCAATGGTTCTTGATACAAATACAAGCATTTCAGACATATTAGCATTTCCTGCTATTGTACACTTCCTACAATATTGGAAGAAATGAAGTGTTGCTTTTACCAATTTGAACGTAGTGTATTTGTTAAATTTTTTATCTAATATTTGTTCTCAATTGCAGGATTTTATTAAAACAGTGGCTAGTTCATGGGTATCTTTTTAAGTTCATCTGTGGTTGTGATATTCTAAACAAAGTTGTCAGTGGTTGTATTACAGATTGCCGCAGTGCCTTTGCCTTGGTGGTACGACCTCCAACAGAACAATCAAACCTACTGTTCAGTTTCCAATTAATAGTGGAAGAACCCAAGAAGGATTATTGGTTAAGAATGCTTTGTCGACATGTGGCAAACACAATTTGCAAAGCAGATGCAGTAAGTCAAAAGATTTTGAGTGTCTTGGAACAAAAGGATGGGGATGTGGAGGAACTGGTGTCATCAATTTTCCTATTATTCATGAATTAGTAATTCAGAACTGTCCACTAAGATTCATCTTTGATACTTCAGCTTTTGCCTATTGCATGCAGCAGTGGCTATGGCGTGACAATATGAACACTGTGTAATGTGTTTGAATTTGGAAACTAAGCATAATGAACTGGCACATTTTTATTTTTGTTGCATGTGATTAAGAAAATGTACTCCTTTGTAAAAACACTAAGTTGCATACTTCTTTTAGTTAATTCAATTAATTGAGTTTTTGTGCTAGGAGTGTTTATTTTAAATTTTACTTTTATTTTAAGTTTTATTTTTGCTTTGTTATGATTCATTTGAAATGAAGTTCGAAATTGTTGTTTTTGTTTTTAACCAGCATTTTAGTTCAGTGCTGAGTTGGAGATCAGTACCTCTTTTTCACATAGCCAGAACCTGACGTGCCCCTTTTTAATTGCTCTTCTCTAGTACAACTGCTTCAAAATCATCTTGGTTTGTGCTTGCCTGCTTGTCCATCCACCGCCTTCTGGCTCTTGGATTACAATGTTGCTGTTTCCTTCCTTGTTTCTGTTATGATTGCCACATTTCTGAAATGTGGTACCTACAGCTGCTACTCACTAGATCTGATTCTAATTTGATTTCTTAATCATAACCTTTGCAGAGGCTTCCTTGGTCCTCTGCACTGGATTTTCTATGATTCTATGCTTTAGTACAGCATGTTTTTTCTTTGTGTCTCTGAAGCACTTTGTGGCTTTTTTTTTTGTCAACAGTGCTGCATAACACGTAATAATTTTGAAAGGATCCAGTTCCACAGAAGAACAAGAAAGGCAAGATTGGAGAAGTTATTAAGGAGCTATCAGCTGTTTTTTTACATTCTGCTTTTCAATTTAGCTGCTAACGGACTTTTACCTGAGCAATGTGCAGGATGGCATGGGGACTGCGATGAGAAATTGTGTCTGCGATGAGACATTTTGTCATTTGGGATATTACAAATCTGTCATTTGGGTTTTTTTTTGTGAAATGTTTGGAGAAACATTTCTGTCGCAGACAATTTCTGGCCTTTTCTTAAGTTGCTTCTCAGGAAACATTTTTATGGTTTTCCAACCAGTTGAGCTGAAAACTATGAAAATTATCAGTTTCACCCAGTTAGCTAGACCAAAACCCTATTTCAAGTGCCAAGGAAGTGGATGAGTGCTTAGGATAGATGGTGATGTAAGAAACCCAGTGATTGTGTGCTTTCCCATTGTTAATTATAAGTTCAACTTGCTTTTTTATTTCTCAAACATTTTCTGGCTAATTCTTTCTTCTAGTAAGCAAATCTGAACCCTCCATAGTCTGCCCTTCTAACCCCGAGTTGGAGGCTTTCTCAGAGGGTTTCTGACATGGGGTTTGCGTCGGAGTAGGACATAGTGATCTCTGCAATTGGCTGTGTCTTGTGGAGGACTGTGACCTAAACCAGCCTGTATCTTTAAAAGGACCTGGCAAAAGTTAGAAAGCTCAGGAATGGGTTTGAAAATCTGGAATCAGGTCCCACCCAACAGTTCTGAAGGTTTTTCAACTCAAATCAGCTGCGTGAAAATCTAGCCCCTCCCTACTTGCTGCACTTCCTTCGCACTTCCTTCCCCTTCCTTCTCTTTACTCTCACTGTATCTCTTTAATATTTCAGTAAAGTTGTATTATGTTTCCTGGATAATGTACCCTGAAAAGTCAGCAGGTCAAGTGGCTGTTGAGCTCATTTTTTAAAATTTTAAATCTAAATATATTAATCTTATAGTACTTTTGCAATTCCATTCATTTGAAGAGTCTGAGCGGGAGTTCCAAGTCATAACAGACTGTAAAAAGTAAAATAGTTTTCTGACTGCTCACACTGCATTTCTTTGTGGTACAAGGTGCACATAATTCCTGTATGCGAAAATTTTTAGATCTTCTCTTCAGCCACAGTGCCCTCCCACCCCCGGCAGACGTCTTTTAAGAATTAAAGTCAAAAAGAGGGATTCTATTTTTATGGAACAGTGCACCACCCTCCCAAACTGTGTTCATAATGAAACATTGAGAAAGTTTATGAAGGGTTGAGATTTTAATGACGTATAAGCTTTTGTTTGACAGCAGTGCCTTTCTTTCTGTGCACATTTTTCAGCTGCCCTACGAAGCTTTTCGTGCATTATGACCTACACATTATTATGGGCTTGTTGTAACCAAATGACTTTGTTCACTTCTAGGAAAATATTATTTTTAACACTGATCCAGAATCTCTTGAAGTCAACACAAAAGACATGGATAGCACATTAAGCAGAGCATCAAGAGCATTTAAAAAAACCTCAAAGAAGGTATGTCTTTTTTGTTTAAATCAAGAATTAAAGAAACTGAAGCAAATAAAATCTGTTTAGAAGTTGAAACCTGCTAATTACTCAAAGGTGCATTGAGCTGAATTAGTCATCTCCAGTCACTTTCAGTGGATATTAATTTGGGCCAATTCAGATTTGTTTGAAAAAACACTGTCCATACTGAGATGGTCTGTATTTAAAATGGTAATGGTCGTACCTGAATATCATTAGATGCTTAGGTAAAATATTTTCTTGTATATTTATCTCGACACGTTTTACTGTTTTTTTTTTAATCCCGCTCCTTCTATCTGTCAATTTCTTTTTAATTATCCACTATTTCCTATCCTCTATTCGACAAATAAAAAAAGGAATAACTTGTTTCTATGCAGACTCCAGCTCATTTTTCAAAATTGTTCATCTTGTGCATATGCTGATTTTGTGAATACTCATTAAATATTTAGAGACTGACATTTACTGTTAAATAGAATTGAGCTTGGAAAATTATTTTGAAGAATTATTGTTAAGCTCAACCTTTTTCTACAAATCAAATTTAGCACTCACATAATAATTACATAGTTATTAACTGAGTTATAGGCACAACCAAAAAGTTTAATTGGCTGCATGAGCTTAGCCTTCAAATTGAGTTCTTGTCTTGTGATTATGTTTATAGTCCTACAAACCTATGGGCATTACTGAAACTAGCACTACTCTGTTCCAAGAGGAATTGCATGTAATATTGTTTCTTCTGTAGTTTTGAGATTGAAATGAATGCTGTTAGTACGTACAAATTTGTGGTTGAATCACAGAGCTTGAGTTGTAATCATACGTATGGAATACATGTAGGAATTGGTCAAATAAAATGATAACTTTTCATATCATTTACTACTGCTTTCAATACAAGCGGACTAATTTTAAATTGATGTGCTTGAGGTGTACAATTTTGCAGTTCTGGCTCAAACGCATTTTGAGTGTTGCTTAAATGTTTAAATTGTTCTAAAAAATTTTTCAGTTGTACAACTAAACAACTGTTTATGTGAGTAATGCATCCTGTTCTAATTTGATGCTGTTGCTTTCTCAACTGAACCAATCTTGTGCAGCGCATATCAAAAGCTTTACACTATTGCTCTGTGCCCCACCCCCCACCCACCTTCTTCCTTGTTTTGCTGCTTGGCCTGCTGTGTTCATCCAGCCCTGCACCTTGTTGTCTCGGATTCTCCAGCATCTGCAGTTCCTACTATCTCTTCCTTGTTTTGTTTTGAAGTAGGTAATGCCATACTCCATCTTGCTCAAGTTCAACTGACATTCAAATTCTGTCCTCTTGTATTGCTGGGTCATTGTTTACAAGTTCCCCAACCATATCCTTGCCTACATTGATTTGAAATTTGAATTTCTACTTTACACTTCTTTATGATCTGTAAGTTCTCAAGTTTAATTCTTCACACACTCCAATTTTTATTTAACTTCCATTACCTGAATTCCATCTCTGGCATTGTCTCGCATAGCAAAATGAAACTTTCTTGTCATTGAGTCATTATGACAGATAGGAGGCTATTGGGTTCATGTTGGCTCTCTGAGCAGCCCAGTCAATCTCATTGATTTGCTTTGTCTGTAACCCTGCAAGTTTATTTCCTTAAAGTGCCTGTCTATCCAGGTTCACCCAGAGAATCATTACTGTTTGGCCCCTAGCTGTACTGGCTCTCTGAATGAGAATTGTAGCTTAGTGCCATTCTTTTCCTTTTTTCCCCCTAACCCTGCCATTTTATTTCTAATCAAATAGTCATCTTGTGCTCTCTTGAATGCCTCAATTGAATCTGCATCTACCACACTTCCAGAGAGTGTTTTACAGATCATAGCTATGCCCCACGCAAAAAGGTTTCCCACACTGCATTTGGATTGTAAAGGACAACTTCCAAGTTGTTAATACTTGATGCTTTTTTATATATAAAAAAACTTCCTCTTCCTTGCTGCTCTTGTTTAAATCTGTGCCTTAATCCTCTTACAACATCAGATATTGGGAACAGCTTTTCTTTGTTTACCTTGTGAAAATTTTGCCAAATAGCTTTCAAAACTCTCCTTGAGACCATCTTCAAAGTTTTCAACCTGACTTTGTAGCTAACTTACATCCTAGAAATATTCTGGTAGATTTCCTATGCACCCTGAAAGACCCTTCCCATTTTTTAAAAAGTGTGGTGGCCAGAGCTGGGTGTAATACTCAATTCTACTTCAATTATGGCTAATGAAGTTTTTGTATAACAACATTTCTCGCTTTTGTATTCTATCTCCTATTGATTGAAGCCAAGGATTTTATATGCTTTGTTAATTGTGCTCTCAATGTCTTCCCACCTTCATGGATTTATGCATTCAATTCCCCATGTTCTTTGTTTCTGCACATTCCCTTTAGAACTGTCATTAAGTATGTAGTGCTCTTTGGAGGGTCGGTGTGGACTTGATGGGCTGAATGGCTTGCTTCCGCACCCTAGAGATTCAATGGTTCCATATGAAAAGGTCTCTGTTCGCAATTAGTTTTCTGTCTGGTCTGATTGCTTGCAAAATTACGCACATCACTTCCAAAGTGGTGTTTTTCCTCCTTTTTTTTGTTTAAATGTTGCTCCCTTCTGTAGCAAAACCACAACTTATAATCACGGCTTTGCACAGGATGGGGGGAAATTGCAATGTGTGAATGCTGGTTATTGGCCCACAGTGGGGGTGATCTAATTTAAAGTTTTGATAGTCCATTACCAGTTATCCTTTGAAACAGTTTGTGTTGGGAGGCTTGGTTCTTTCCTCTACGAAAAGAGTTTTAAATTCAATTCTGTTTTTGGCAATATCTTTTCCCCCATATAAGTCTCTCTGTGTATTATTCATTTCAGATGAAGCTTAATGCACAGGTAACTATCCTTGGAAAGCCTTTTCAGCTATGATACCACTGTGTTTAAGTAGGTACTGTCTGAGGTACCATGAAGATCCCTCCTTCTCAACCTTCTGTCACCTGAGGCATAGTGACCCTTTTGCTTAAACCAGCATCACCTGTCTCTTCCCTAATAAGACAGCAGCCCTACAGTCCTCTGGGACTATGGCAACTTTACCTTTTTTATATACATTTTTTAAAAAATGTGGCTGTACCATTGAACATTTGAACATTCTCAAAACCAATCACTCAACCTGCTGCTTTCTGTTCTTAACAACAGGTTTTTATCCAAAAAGCAAGTGCCCCTCCTATTCTTGGCTTTTGTCAAATGCTCATCAGCATTCTGTATCACTTTTGAAAAAATTCAATTCTATTAAGCAGTCTACCTTTTACAAACTGTGCATGGTCTCTTAAATCAAGTCCAACCTCTGCCAGTCTCTGCTTTTTTTTTGTTCTGACTTACTATTTCCAAAATTTTATCTACTGTAGGTATTAATTTGATCAGTCTGTGGTTGCCAGGAATTTCCTTCCAGCATTTCTTGAATAAAGGTGTCACATTTGCCACATTCCAGTCCTCTCCCATGTATCGAGGAAATTGTAAAGTTTATCTCCATATTTGCTCTACTCAATCCGACTAACATAATGTATGCCCTTCAATTCTAGCTTCCTATGCTTTGTTCTTCTGCAGCTTACCTCACCAACTGGTTTGGTGCCTAAGTCTTCATTTTTTTGCCTTAAACTCCAAATACAAACCACTGTCTCTTTGACACTTGGAATTCCTGCTATATTTAGACACCAAATGATTGTCGATTCTCTGCCTCCTAAGAACTTTAGTATGCATTATTATGATTTTAAAGGTACAATAGAACCATTTTGTTTGTCCAGGTTACAAGAGCATTCTCATTTACTAAAACACCAAAGAGAGTTTTGCAACGAGCACTGATGGTTCACAGTACCCCTGATACAAAGAGCCCAACAAATAATGGAACTTACCTGGGTAGTCGATTGGCCAGTACATCATCTTTAGTGGTAAGTACAAGGCACATTCCTTATTTCTAAATTCATATCACATGCATTTTAAAATTTTGATTGTGTTGTGCATACATAAATTTGAGCTTTGGCATATTCTTTCAAGCTGTTCAGCTTTCACATGGTAATAACAGGCAATTACCTAAACTAAAGTAAACCAATGAAATTATTTTGAAGGTGAACATTTTTGGATTTTCTTCCTATTAATCTGTAGTTTTTATTCCTTTTTAAAAAATCAAAAATAAATTGGAGACCATTAAAGCTAACACTTTAGTTTAGCAACGGTATACACTGCAGTTGGCAATTTTATTTAAACTAATCAAAGGACCATTTTTGCTTGCTGCACTGGCATAATGGAAATTGTGGTTAAAACATTCAAAGTTTCATTGCAATCATTTTAAAATAAAATTAAACGCATTAGGAATGTTGATTATACAATTTGTCGTTAAAGTTGTGGTTGAATTTCTGAAAATTAAGACTTTAAGTAAATCATAAACTCCTGGAAATCGATGTTAAAGTCAGTTGTGTTCCTTTGGACATTACCCCACAGGCTAAAAAAAATGCAAGTTGAAAATCTGAAACCAGTGAGTGTAGCAGTGTGAATTCTCATGTGAAATTGCTTGCAGAATAAAAGATTCAAAACAGTATACCTTTGTATAATACTAAAAATTAAACACACACCCATACTTTTAAATTAATCAGACTCCATCTACTGGCAGAGGTTGGTCAGTACAGGAGCTGAAGTGTTGCACTGTCCAACTTCTGCCACGAGTCTGTGCCCTGACCTCAAGTTCAGAACAGCATCCTGGAGAAGGTAATAGCTTCAATGACAAAGGGTGCTGCCTAAAATAAGGACACAAGCAAGGTCAGGGGGAGAGAACTTTGAGAGGTAACACTTGCGGGACTGTATGCAACAATGTATTTATTATACTAGCCTGTTTGGCTTTACAAGGAAACGGGCCTTAAAATGATATCAGGTCGGTCAATTTAGAGTGCACCTGCTGTTTGATTCGCAGAATCCATTGTTGTCTTTGAATTTTAATAACATGCTCTTGCTGTAATTTGCTGTAAACCACATTTTATTACCTTTGGTCTAAGCTGAAAAAAGATCTGAATTTCAAAGGTGAGCTGAGAATTATGGTCTTTGATATCAAGATGGCATGTCAACAAGAAGCTCCACCAAATCATTGGTGGGAATTTGTTGTGTTGAAAGAGAAAGAGATCAAGAGGGAAGTAGAGAATTCTTGACTGGTGAGAGTTGTATCCAGTACAACGGAAGATGGTTGTGGAAGACCAACAGTGTTCCCTCTGTAAAGGCTGCATGGGCTCAGAGGCCCATATATGGCAGTGACTTCCAGAACCAGAAGTCAGTGCCATGATTGGTATGCTGATGCCAATTCCTGTGTACAGAACATCAGAGCTGCTGCATGTGCATGCTGCTTAGAGGGAATTTTGGAGGCCAATTATTGGTCTTCCAGTCAATGTTGCAGGAATTCCTCTGATTTATATCCTAGATCTACCCATCTTAAATTGTTTCAATAATGACCTTTCTTACACCATAAGATTAGAAATTGGAAAGGTAAGGACTGCCAACTTTGGTATCACTTACCTCTTCTAGGATTTGAAGTAATCGATGCTGACATTCCTTAATCATGTGGATGTGTTGACAATAAAGCTATTAAGTGGCAAGTAACAATTGTGTTCCACTAATGTCAAGCAGTAATCATCTGAAAGAGAGAACCTAATTATCTCCCCTTGATTATCATTGGCTGAATTCGCCAGGATCAACATCCTGGAATTACCAATGGCCAGAAAACGAACTGCACCATCATTCTAAATGCTGTGGTTACGAGAGCTGGTCGGCAGCTAGGAATTCAGTAGTGAGTAAATTGTTGTCTTCTTTTCCCGGAGTTAGTTCATTGAAGAGTATGAGGGAGTACTCGCCACTTGTGTGGATGAGTGGAACTCTAACAGTGTGCAATAACCACCCATGTAAAACTTCCAATTTGATTTGCAACCCATCCATCACCTTACACTTTAACTATCTCTATCACAATGCACAGTGGTGGCATTGTACATCATTTAAACAAGATCAACTTCAGGAAATCGCACAGCTTCCTCCAACAGCACCTTCTAGACTTGTGCCCCATACTACTCGGAATGACAAGTGGAGATAACATTTAGGAAACCAGCACCTGAAAGTTGAATGAAGGCCTCCCAAGATAAAGGAAGAAATATGTGGTCAAGTTATGGCTTAGACTTTGTAGTGATTGGCAACTGAATGACTTGCTAGGCCATTTCAGAAGGTAGTTGAGAGTCCACCACATTGCTATGGGTGTGGAGTCACATGTAGGCCAGACCAGGTGAGGATGGCAGATTTGCTTCCTGGAAGGACATTAGCAAACCAGATGGGTTTTTACAACAATTGACAATGATTTCATGGTCATCAATAGATTCTTAATTCCAGAGTTTTTTTTAAAAATTCAAATTCCATCATTCAAACCTGGGTCCCCAGAGCATTAGCTGAATTTCTGGATTAATAGTTCAGCAATAATACCACTAAGCCATTGCCTCCACCTTGCCATCACCAAATCCCCCACTATCAACATCCTCAGAGTTATCATTGACGAGAAACTCAATTGGACTCACCACATAAACATTGCAGCTACAAGAGCAGGCCAGAGTCTAGAAAGTAACTCACCTCCTGACTTCCCAAAGCCTGTACACCATCTACAAGGTACAAGTCAGGAATATGATGGAATACTTCCCATTGGCCTGGATGAGTGCAGCTCCAACAACACTCAAGACACTTGACATCATCCAGGCCAAAGCAGCCGGCTTGATTGGCAGTACATCCACAAGCATCCACTCCCTCCACCACTGATGCTCAGTAGCAGAAGTGTGTACTATCTCCAAGATGCACTGCAGAAATTCACTAAAGATCCTCAAATGGTTCCAAACCCACGAACACTTCCACCTAGAAGGACAAGGGCAGCAGATACTTGGGAACACCACCAACTGCAATTCGCCTCCAAGGTACTAACCATCCTGACTTTGAAATATATTGCTGTTCCTTCACTGTCACTGGGTCAAAACCCTGGAATTCCCTCCCCAACAGCATTGTGGGTCAAGAAGGCAGCTCCCCACTACCTTCTCAAGGACATCTAGGAACGGGCAATAAATGCTGGCCAGCCAGCAATGGCAAAATGTGTAAACAACAGGGTTGTTGTGGTGGGTGATTTTAACTTTCCATATATTGACTGGAACTGCCTCAGCAGCAGGGGCTTGGGCAGGGGTAATTTGTTCAGTGCGTCTAGGAGGATTTCTTGAAGCAATATATAAATAGCCCACTATGGGATGGGCTGTATTAGACCTGGTATTAGAGAGTTAGCCTAGCCATGTGATAAAAATTTCAGGGGAGGACTTTCTGGAACAGTGACTATGTATAAGGATGAGAGTAGTCCTTGGGTGTAAGTACTAAACTGGGGAAGGCTAACTATGCCAATATCAGGCAGGAACTGGGGAATGTATACTGGGGGCAGATGTTTGAGGGTAAATCCATGTCTGGCAAATGGGAATCTTTTTAAGATCAGTGATTAGAGTTCAGGACTAGTATATTCCTGTGAAAGTGAATGATAATAATGCCCAAGACTCACGGACTTTGGATGGTAAGAGAAGTTGTGAGCTTATGTCTCCATTTTCCTCATGACTGTGTAAGGTTTAAGAAAACTGAAGATAGACACAGCCCTCTGAATATAAGGAAAGAACTTAAACAAGGAGTTAGGAGGGCTAAAACAGACACATAAGATTAAGGAAAATCCCAAGGTGTTTTATATAAAAGGAGTAAGAGGGTAACCAGGGAAAGGGTACATTCTCTCAAGGACAAAGGAGGAAATTTATGCGTGGAGCTGGAGGAAGTGGGTGAGGTCCGTAACGAATAATTTGCATTGTATTCACCAAGGCGATGAACATGGTGGATGGTGAGCCTAGAGAGGGGCATATTGATACTCTAGGGCATGTTGATGTAAAAACGTTTGGGTATTTTGAAAAGAATTAGGGTAGACAAGTCATTAGGACCTGATGGGATCAATCCCAGAAAGCTGAGGCCTCGTATGAAATCTTGACATCCTGGAGAATAGCCAATGTTGTTCCTTCCTTTAAGAAGGATAACTCGGATAATCTTGGAAATTATAGGCTGGTGAGCTTTGTGTCACTGGTAGGAAATCTACTGGAAAAGATTCTTAGGGACAGGATTTATTCACATTTGGTAAAATATGGACTTAGTAGCAACAGGCAACATGGCTTTGTGCAGAGGAGGACATGTGTCTCAAACTTGAATTGAGTTTTTTTGAGGAAGTGACGAAAATGATTGAGGCAGGACAGTGGATGTTGTCTACGTGGACTTTAGCAAGACCTTTGATGAGGTCCCTCAAGGCAGGCTGACGTAGAACGTGAAGTCGTGGTGAACTGGTAAAATGGATACAAGAACTGGCTCAGTCATACAAGACAGTAGCAGTTGCAGGGTGTTTTTCTGACTGGGAGATCTGTGACCAGTGGTGTTCTGCAGGGATCAGTGCTGAGACCCTGTTGATTGTAATATTTATAAATGATTTTGGAGGAGAATGAAGGTGGTCTGATTAGTAAGTTTGAATAACACAAAGATTGGGGGAGTTGCAGATAGTGAGGTGGATTGCCAGAGGTTACAGCAGGATATAGATATGCTGGACACTTGGGCGTAGAAATGGCAGACGCAATTTAATCCAGAGGGAAGTATACACTAAATGACAGAACTCTTGGAAGCATTAACATACAGAGGGCTCTAGATGTACAGGCCCATGGTTCCTTGAAAGTGGCAACACAAGTGAATAAGGTGGTCAGGAGGTGTGTAACATGCTTGCTTTCATCAATCAGGGCACGCAGTATACAAAAAAAAATTGGTAAGATATGTAGCTGTGTAGAACTTTTAGTTAGGCCTCATTTGGAATATTGTGGACTGTTCC